CTACAATTTCAGCATCAGTTATTGCAAGACCACACTTTCTTGTGTTGTGAGAATACATACTATCCCATGCTTAGTTTTAATGGTGGACAAAGAACAGAAATTGCTGGAATAGAGGGAAACATCAGAATATGGTCATGTTCCTTTTTCTCTGCCCTCTTTGACAGTTGAACCTAAAGTAGGAATGTAGGTAATAGCTTTGCCACTGAGGATCTCTCAAAAGGGGGAAAAACTGTTCAGTCTACCTTCCCTGGCTTTAATGTAGGCACCTTAATGAATGAATGTTAAGTGTCTGACAACCTGGTCCCAATCCAAGAATACATTTTAAGGTGTTGTCTTGGTTTAACCTCAGCCGGCAACTAAACACCACACAGCTGCTCACTCCTCCCCCACCCCCCAGGGGGACGGGGGAGAGAATCAGAAGAGTAAAAGTGAGAAAACTTGTGGGTTGAGGTAAAGACCGTGTAATAGGTAAAGCAAAAGCCGCGCACGCAAGCAAAGCAAAACAAGCAATTCAGTCACTGCTTCCCATTGGCAGGCAGGTGTTCAGCCATCTCCAGGAAAGCAGGGCTCCATCACATGTAATGAACACCATCACTCCGAATGCCCCTCTCCTTCCTTCTTCTTCCCCCAGCTTTATATGCTGAGCATGACGTCATATGGTGTGCGATATCCCTTTGGTCAGTTGGGGTCAGCTGTCCCAGCCGTGTCCCCTCCCAGCTTCTTGTGCACCCCCAGCCTACGCACTGGTGGGGTGGTGTGAGAAGCAGAAAAGGCCTTGACCCTGTGTTAGCACTGCTCAGCAATAACTAAAGCATCCCTGTGTTATCCACACTGTTTCCAGCACAAATCCAAAACACAGCCCCATGCTAGCTACTATGAAGAAAATTAACTCTACCCCAGCCAAAACCAGCACAGGTGTTTTCAGGCATATTGCTATTCCTTATGGAGTTTGGAAGAGCTGCCACCAACTCTTCTATGGACGAGGTACAACAGAGCTAACAGGTAGACTGTGAAACCAAATTTGCCTCAGACACTTTCCTGCATGACAAAATATTCAGGGAATAATTTCCACAATTCTGTGCTTGATTCAGTGCCTAAAGATATGAGAGGAAATGGGAAGCAGGTCTAATCTTTGTTTCTTTTCCTTGGCAATTTTAATTCACGAAAATACTCCCTGTGCCCCCAAATCCAAGTTGTCCTGTGCTGATCTCAACTTTCTTCTCTACAGTCTTTAAATAAAACAATGTGATATTACAGTTGGGTTAGATTGAGGAGAAGTTGCTGTGCTAGCTAAAAATTTGGCACCACACCTTCTATTCAGAACGCTGCACGTTGGTGGTGTCTGTTCAGATAACCTCTAGCTACAGTTGAGTAATACCAGAAATGGGGAAAACCCTAGAGAAATAGGAAAATCCCTAACTATTTGTGCATTGTGTAAGTATATTTTGCTTAGGCTCCTTGCCAAAGCAGATATGAATCAAAGATGCTCTCTGTATAGGAGTAAAATGTACTATCATGTTCAGGATCTTATTTTTGCATAAGACACCCACGGCATTTGTGAAAGGGGAAGAAAATTTCCATTCTGGTTTTAGGGTATTATGTTTTTCTATTGCATTCATCACTGAAAATTCCTGTAAACAAAAGATATAGAAAGTGAGAGAAGAACTCGGTTAATTTATTTGAGTTCTTCTTTGAGACAAATGGTCTCTTTTGACTATTTTGCAAAATGATTATAAAAGAAAATACACACACCCACCCCCCACCCCCCCCGGTATTGTACAATCAAAAGAAACACTTACAAAAAAAAAGGAATTGAGCTGTGATCAAATGCTTGCTGTAACTGGCAAGTGTTTGTGCAAATGTTTGATTATTTATGTAAACCTTCCCAACGACTCCTCACCCAGAACAAAACCGAGTGCCCAAGAATGACAAAACATCTCCTACCAGAACAAAAATCACTGATGGATGTGTTTCTTTTTTTCCCATGGAGAAGATGAGAAAATAAATGCAAGATGATGCTGGAAAGTGCTCAGATGGTAGGATTCATCTGAACAACAGTGAAAAACAATAATTAATTAGGATAGACTAGAAGGTATAGGAGGATTTCTGCATTGTCCCACAGAAGTGGGTGGTTTTTTTTTTCGTGTTTGTAACTTAAGATAATTTATTTACATATATGATTTGCATTTTTCAGGTGTCATAACGGGGACTCCAAAGCAGTGGCCTTCTTTAAGTAAAAGGCTCAGTCCTCTGAGTTTTGTGAGATTTTTGTTCTTTACTTCAGTGAGATTTTTTTTTTTTTTTCTAATGTATTTTTGCACCATGATTGTAACCAGAAAGAACAGTTAGAGAAGTTAATTTAAAGATGATGTTCTAAGAAATTTTGACTGACAATTGGAAACTCTCTCAACCACCTAACCAAAATATTTTCAATAATATGGCTGCAAAATGGGAAGTTAAAAATATGGGAGTAATTTGCTAAATTATCAACCTCACGAGAGATTAATTTCTTCAAGTAGGCAGTGGCTCAGCAATTAGTTGATCCAACAGTTAGGTTTTCTCACCAAGAAAGCTAGCTGCCTAATTCACTCACTCGATTTTTTGCAGTCATTTTGTATATTTGTCTATTCCACTCCCTAAGGCCATGAAGAACCTCAAGTAAAGAGACTGAATTCAAATTGTCCTTCTGCATATTCCTACAGGGTTTGATTAAAAATAATTCAAAATCAGGCCTTTGAAACAGCAGTTAAAATTCCAGTAGTTTTATATGAACTGGCATGTTCCACTTTTATTGGTTTAGTGTTGCCCTGAATTATTCAGAAAGCTAGTCTTCTTTCTATTGATTAATGTGCATTGGGAGAATCAGCACAGTACCAATGAAGCTTTGGGGGGGGGGGGCAGAAATAATTCATAAATGACAAATATTTCTATGAACACGTTGCAGCAGAAATGAAGTCACATCAGTTATGTTTTTCAGCCCTTCAGGGGGATTTGAGGAATTTATGAAACCTTTGAAATAGAAGTACCCTAGTTTTAGAATGGTTATGTAAAGAAGTTTGATTACCTCTATAAAATCATAGAATGATTTGGGTTGGAAGGGACCTTTAAAAGCCATCTAGTCCAACTCCCCTTCAATGAGCAGGGACATCTTCAACTAGATCAGGGTGCTCAGAGCCCTGTCCAACCTGACCTTGAATGTTTCCAGGGATGGGGCATCTACCACCTCTCTGGGCAACCTGTTGCAGTGTTTCACCACCCTCACCATAAAAAATGTCATCCTTATATCCAGTCTAAATCTACCCTCTTTTAGTTTAAAACCATTACGCCTTGTTCTACGTGACAGGTCCTACTTCTCTGAGTGTCGATGTAGTATTGCGTAGAAGCAGCCAAAGCAATACCTTTAACAATGTCACAAGTAATTTTGATAATCTTCAGTCTATGAAAGTATATGACTATCCCTGTCTTTTTAAAAACAGTGCTTTAAAATACCACCTTTTATGCATCTGCACTTTTCTGAGTCATAGTGACAAACCGCCAATTGTAAAAGATGAAAACTTACCTCCAGAAGTGATTATTAAAAATAAAAGTGCCAAAAGGACAAAAGAATGAGAACTAATACAGATTAGATACTGGTCACTGGTTTTCTAAAGGCCTTCTTTAAAATCAAGCTTATCTAGCTAAAAACTTAAAAGCAGCAATAAGGGACAGAAAACACACTTCTCAGGTACTCTAGGCAGCTGCCACAGTGTAGCTAACATGCTATCATTTCTCACCTGAAGCAATAATATGAATTTGCTCTACAGCTGTGTTTATGAGGAGGACAGAATTACCTGTGGACAAAAGCCTCATGGAAGACCAAGCAATAGCTATTTTATGATGTGCTAATGGTTACCCAGGCTGCAGTCTCTGTGTTTGTCTAGAACTTGAGAACTACAACCAAATGTCCACTGAGAGATTTTTGCGGGCTCTAAAACTCACAGATTGTTGGCTTATTGACAAGATCCTAAAATGTTTTAAAAGGACTGAGAGCTGCCAGTCCATGTGAGAGCAGAGGGACAAGGTGGTGCCCGCTCCTTTTGCGGGTGTGACAAAAGTGTCTCTGAATGAGACGCTGATTTTAAAGGAAAGCAGAGGGGAACATATGTGCCGTATACAAAGGAATACTGCTATGTCAGAAACTTGAATGCCAGAGCAGCAGAAAACTATTTGCTGGCTAAGTAATAGCCTTTCTTTAGAATGTCATGAATAGTAGTCAAAATAAGAGTTGTTATTTTTATACTCTCCAGAATTTTAGTGTGTGGTTAAGTGTTTATTTTACTGGGAAAATGGATGTCGTCTGTCTGGAAGATAACTGGAAACTTGCTAAAATCTCAGTGTCAGGTTCACTTTGCCTCTTACAAAAACACTTTCCCACTTGAACATGGTAAGTACTGTGCCTGAGTAATTTCATTTTCAGGATTCTGAGCCAGATAGTTCTCAGAAATAAAAGGGCAAGTCTTATTTCTAAACTTCACTTGCAATTAATGTAATACTTCCTTCCATTGGCCTAGTGTGATCTTCTAAAAATCATGTAATATTCAGTAGTGTTTTAGATATCTTCCATTAAAAAATTGCTTGGTTTCTTTGCCCTGGTCTGAGCAGTCCAAGTTTGACAAAACAAGAAGCTATTGGTCAGTGTGGATGGCAGTACCTCATAAAATGATGTCTGTATTTGATGGAACTGTTATACTTGTTATAACAATTACACCTCAGGAGAAATACATGAAAATAAGGATAATGCTGATCTTGTGTTCCCATACACATCAGGCTGTCATGTGCAGTAGTAATGTGCATTTTCTCTGTATTTGAAAATCTTTTTTTTTATCTTGAAAATTATTTCTCTTGTGGTCTGTGAATATGTTTACCTCTTTAAGGTATGTTTATATTTGTGTACAATGATTAAGCAATATTTATTTTTACTGTTACCTCAGCTTTTATAATTTTTTTGTTTCTGTTTGCAGGGGATTCATTGTAAAAGCAAACCTTCCAGTGAGTATACAATATTCACATTTTTACTACATTTGTTTTTGGAAGGTAAAGATAATTTATTGCAGATAATAAATCCACTTCCCTGGTGACATCAGATCACTGTCATGACAGGGTATTTATCACCAGTTTCCTTGGACAAAACATTGTAAAATTGGTAGGCTCTGCTAAATAATAGGTTAATAATGACTGTGCATAGTTGCTTTATAATTTTCCTTATCATAGATTGTCATTGGGAGAATTTGCTTAGTCATTTCACATGTTTTTATTGCTTCTGCTTATTATTATTGCCTACAGTAGTAATACAGGCTCTTGAATTACCTGAACTCTGAAGCCTCCATCTGTCACTCCTCCAGTACACACAGTCACTTGACAGGGAAGTACAAGGCAGCTGCCTTGCAGGCAGTCCCTGCTGAGAGGACAGTCCTGGCTGGAGGCCCAGCTCTGAGCACTGCTTGTCTCCACGGTGCCTTTCCTGGATCCGTGTGGCAGAGAGTCGACAGACAGGGAGAAGCTGCGATGCTGAGCCGCAAGCATGTGAGATGCTGATGCTATGGTGTGGGGCGTGAGCCCAACGTCAGCTGTCATGAGTCTTACTCTGGAAGCATGGAATTTACGGGACACATGTTGAGGTGGAGAGAAGGAACACGACTGTGGAAGGGACAAAGTTAAAAGTCCCACCTGAAAAAGTCTCTAGTCTTCTGCTGGCAAGCAGAGTGAACCATCGGTGGCACGTTCAAGGACTGTGAATGAATCTTTTTAGGATTAGGCAGCTGAGCTGCTAGTTACACAAACTACGTGGAAAGCAGAGGAAGAAACAGGGGCATTGACCTTTGCTCTGCCTAGCTGAAGCACGCCTTCATGCCCTTCGGCAGCACAGGCTGAGGAAATCAAACCCTTCTACCCTGGTCTCAAAGGAAAGGATACCTGCAATACTGTTGGTTATGAGTTACAATCTGTACTGGGTATTACACAAATGCAGATCTAGATAGTGGAGACTCACTACAGGTACCATGAGCTGGTGATTCATTCCACCCATCTTAGGACAAGGTGATTTATGTGCTGGGAGGGACGCAAGAGGGGTTCTCCCTCTCTGTTGATTGCCAGAGGTGCTTAGATAATGCACATAAGCTTAAATTAGATGTTTAGCTCTTAGCTGGATATAGACTTTGGACACTGAAGAGTTTGTAAACTAAAGATCCTTGTCTTTCAAGATGATGTACATGAAGCAGAGCTGGTTGTAGGTTTTCAGTGCTGCCTGAAAATGACTTATCAGCTGTCTTTAATACAAGTAACATGTAGGATGGCTCAGCCTTATAGGGGTGATGAAAAAACATATTTTAGTCTTCAAGTCTTCATCTTAATTCACTTGTGCAACAGTGGGTGTATACTCAGATCCATACTTCCTTTTCTATAGTCATTCATTTTATTATTTCTTATTTGAGGTACAATTACCTTAAAAGACCTTAACTGTATAATAGAGCTCCTTTGCAGTAGTCATTGCTTTTAGCTGCAACAAAAAGATGACTTTATTTCCTAGAATTTGCAGCTATCAGCTCAGTAGTATTTGGCAATGTAGCTTTGACTCTGCCTTCTCCCTCCTCCTCTTCTAGACTATTAGTAGTACATAAAGGCTACTGTAATATTTGAAATTCACTGTAATATATCCAGACATTGATATCAATATATCAGTGATTTTAAAAAAGCCTTACATTCTCATAAAATGTATTTGGCACATTATATCACCATGTTGTCCAATACCCTTGAAAGTTTGAAACATGTTCTGAATGTACAACTATGAAACCCTTCTAATTTACTGTGCATTGAAATCTATTGTGAAAGAGAGGCTGTCAGTCTGAAATTTAATCAATTTCATAATTGGTGTAAGTACTTTTAAGTAGCGAAATTTGGTATTTATTAACTGAAGTGCACCATGTGGTTATCTTAGAAGAGCATATCTAGTTTGTTTATGAATTTTGTTGAATCATCCTAATGCACAGATGCAGCAGATACTGTGGTAAATCATATGCAAACAGGTTTGAAATGCTACTCTAATTCATACTCATGGAATGATGCTCCAGTGAAGCAATTCTAGTGTGCTTTAGAGATGCTTACAGATTTAGCACTGTCAGTATCCTAAGTAGTTCAGATTCTTACAGTTCTTGTAGGGAAGAAATACCAGACAAAAAACCAGGTAGGATTTTTTATCGGGTGTTGGCCTGGACCTGTTGTTAATGGGTTTTCTCTGTAATTTTTTTTGCTGTTCTCCAATTTCACCTTCTTGCCTGAGGCTTCAAATTATCCATCTAATCATTTCTATTGCGTATTCATTGCTCAGCTCTGGCTTCTATTATCTAAGTGTACATAAGGTGTGTTTTGCTGTCATGACAGTTCTGGGTTGATTGCTGCATCATCAGATAAAAAAATAATCTGCTGTGCTTGAGCTGATGGCAGAAGTACAAGGAAAGTGTCTACATGCTGAATAATAAGCTTCTTTATGCCTGGGCTTATATGTGTCCATAATTAAGGCATCTTCTATTACAGCAACAATCCCTCTCTCATGTAGGGCTAATTACAGTTATAATTCATAAACATAAAATTTAGGCAAGATTTACTCAGCAGATGCTTTGTGTAGCAAGATGTATCTTCTATGTCTTCTGGGGTGTAGATCAAACTACTCGTGAGAAAAGGAAAGAGGTATGTGTTCCAGAGGAAACTGTCTAAGGGGGGGATTAAAAGATGATAAGGTGAGAGTTTACTGAAGAATTAGTCAGAAATGAGTCTCATACCATGATGATTTATAGAATGAAAATTATTTTCTGTCAGGTCTTCCTTGTATCATCTATTTATTGTGATGCAAAACTAACATCCTCATGCACGATATGATCCATTTAAGTTATTATTAATGAGATTTGCAGCATCTTTTGCAATTCTCAAAATGTATAGTAAAATTAATGGAAAAATATCCAAAGTGGAAGAGTGATTTCATTTTATCCAGTGTATTACTTATTTGTTCTCAGTTTGAAGGTAGAAACTGTGATCAAGGAGGACAGTGTCCCTGCTTACGGACAGACAGTAGTCTCTAAAACTGTGCATCTGCCTGATACCGATCCAATGTCAGTAGTGCACCTAGGTATGACTTAGGATTCTCCTGAGAGAGTTCCAAGCCTGTGACATCTGATAATACCATACCTCAGGTGGTAATAACTAAGGACTGAATTCAATTAAGTCATGACAGTCTCTCCTAAAAATATGTAGGGTCAAATAATATGGTCAAATTCACCCAAACAGAATACTTTGTAAAGAACTGTCAGCTTTGACAATGTATATATATACACATTGCTCTTCCCTGAAATCATTTCTACACAGACATGGGAATGGGCAAGATTATAGGCCTGGATCAGGAAATTTATACCAACCACCAAGGAATTAAGCAGAAACAGCTGCTCCTGGGTACCATTTGGTATCCACAACATGTCGTACGATGCAGTCAAGAAAATATCTTTTGAGAGAGACAGACAGAGCTAAAACTAATCATCACTTATCACGTTATTAGTAATTATTTCCAGGTAGTTCTGCAATATAATAACCTCCCAATTAACTGTGGGTGGATTGGCTGGATGTTGTACAATAACTCTCCAACCTGAGATACCTTCAGGATTAATTATTACAACACCCATTCATGGAACACGGAATATAGTGTTCACAACTGGCTGCTGTGCCCTGTACTTCTTAAGGCTGCCTCATCTCTGTGGAAACACGTTTACAAATTCTTCAAAAGCCAATGTACTGCACTGCTCTTAAAGCCTAATTTGTACATTTTGAATGATCTGTGCTTTTTCTTTGGTTTGCACAAATTGTCTTCTCTTGTCGCCAATATTGCCTTGGATAATTGAGAGTTGACTCTACTGCCAGTTGAGGTAAAGTGTCCTTGTTTTTCCATTCTTTTCCATTTTGTTCATATTAGCATGTCATGTTGCCTCCAAAAGATGCTTAATGGCACAAAATCAGGATAATGGAGTGGAGACTCAGGTGTGAAGTATTTGTCTTTTCTGACTTCTGGTATGTAACATGCTGGACTTACTTATCCTAATACCAAGTGTGAGGTCACCTTAAGGCCTGACAGATTCAAGCCAAGGTACCACATTTATGTCAGCCTGTCTTCACATTCTGTACATATCAGCATCTGACCCTTGACAATGGGCTTCAGCTGCAACTGGACACTGTGAAAGTGAGGATCTCGTAATATAGAAAGAGGTCCTTTACAGGTTAATACACTTTCAGTCTTTAAATTTAGAGCACTTTCCTTCATTGGAGGGTTTGGAGGGGTAAGTAAGGATAAGCTTTGCCCTTCCTCCTCCTCTACATCCTACCTTTCCTCTGTGAGAACTGTGTATGTGTCTTCCATGTGAGTCAACGGGCACCTACACTTCACAGTTCTTGGCTAGATATTGAGGGAGGAACCCTTTCCTGATGATCCGAGTTAAGAGTTGTTACCCTGTATTTTATGGCAAGCACACTACTGTGGCACTGCTATTTCATACTATGCTCTTCGCCATACTAGTTGAACTCCTCTAGGAGTGTGTTAAGCACTATGACTAATAAGAGTCAAATGTTTTTTTGTTCTTCCAACCTCTCCCCAGGGGGAGGAGAATGTGCAGTAAAATACTTGTACTTGAGTGTCTTAACTTTCATGTTATGTACCTAAGTGAGAAGGGTAATAGATATTTCAAAGAAATTGCTATGATGTAGTTACAGCTAAAATGAGGTGAGCTGCATTGTGTACCACAAAGCCAAGGGACAAAACCCAGTTCCCTGGCTATTTGTTCTGATAGTTTCTTGAACTCCTAATTTTTGGGACTACAAACAATCTATGTGAGGTATAGAAGCCCAAGGAATGCATTGGGGATTAAATCCACTGTACCAACATAAATTCATAAACAAATAACTGATTTCTGTGCAGGGTGATCTGAGAAGTAGAAAGAGATGAAATATGGCTACTTGACGAGATTTGGGGCCTTAAGACTTTTTTGCCTTTTGCATTAGCCTACAGAAGGTGGCTGTGCAAACCGATATCCTAAGGCGTTGGGATGACTAAATTTCCATAGGAAAATAAGATGAGACATAGTAGCTGTGTCGTGTGCCTACTGCTTACACCTTGAAGAAGGCCTGGATAGTATTTATTCTGCTTTTGCTGTTCTGGTCTAAAGCAGAAGGAAATCCTGCAGGTGTGAGGGATTTTTCCATGACGAGGAATGCAATGGTGCCCTCTTGTGTGAAAGTGGTATTTTAACAGCAGTTGAGACCATCAGCCAATCCTAAAATTAAAATACTAACTATGAGAGTGCTCACAATGTACAGGTAGTGGTTTTGAAAGAAAGTTTAAATAAACTATTAGTCTAGCCACGATCTAGCAGATCTGATTATTTAAAACCACTATTAGTCTAGGTGTGCTCTGCTAGCCTTAACTGTTAGAAGTGTGATTCCTTCCCCTTGTGGGTTAACACTTCCCTAAGCCAGGAAATTTATTATCAACCCCATCTGTAATGTAGTTCTTTCTGCCCCTCCCTGCATTGCTAGTGAAGCCAACTAGCTATGCTGGCCATGTGAAAGTCTTAGGTAAAGTACTGGCTTTGCTGAAGTCAATGGTGACTTTCCTACTGATTTCAGTAGAGCTGGAGCTTCACCTTTGGTGCTTTCTCTCCCCCAGATATCCTGCGCACAATGAGATTTCTCTGTCTTTGTATTTGCATTTGCAGGTGGCATTTTTAACAGCTTCTGCCATGATGCTCCTGCATCTTTATCTTCTATGGTACTGAAAAGCATGAAGATCTCAACAGTGATGAAATGTGTCCAAGGAAGCCAATGCTCTCTTCATTTAAACATTAAAGGAACTTTGAGTCTGGATGGTAGGAAGCAGATTTGCTACTGAATCATTTTTGTTTACTTTTTCTTTGTAGCTGCTCAGCCAAATTTTGTCCCATATTCAATATTTGTGTCCAAGCTGTTTTCATGTAATTGTATCAGAAAGATATTTTTTGTGAAACCATTCTACTACAAACCAGGATAAAGCCGTGGCCCTTCTCAAGGGAATGAGAACTGAGATAATGAATTCAAGACAACTGAATTTTTACTTCCAATATAATACACTTGTCCTCTACCAGTGCCCTAAGCACACTGTTGCCCTTTTCTTCCTTGCTCTGACACGTGTGCACACACACACACACACACACACATACAAATTCTGTCTGCCCTGGTAGCTCAGACATGAGTGACTGCCCCAACAGAAGGAGAAACAGTTTATGTGTCTGAAGTTACAATTCTGCACTAAAATAAAATGAAAGCACTCAAACTTTTTAGGCATAGTCTATTTTTACTAACACCCTGCCATTCATGTGCTTAGTGTGTTACCATTTAGATATTTCCTGTGTGCTTCACTCAGAGTTAATAGGTTTATTTTTTAAATTTGCATAAGAATTTGCATAATTAAAGCTTTAATTTATAGCAATCTGTATTAAATCCTTGCTCCTACCTTCCATGTGTGTTATATATATAATGCCCCTTTTTTAACAGAGATAAAATACATGTGCCTTTCACTTAGAAGGAAAACTTATGATATGGTATATTTTAACTTGTTTTTTGTTTTTCTTAAAGATGATCAAATTATATTTTTGAAATCTGTTCCTAACTCATTTCAGAAAATATCCGTGGGCTGGAAATATGTTCTCTTTCACTGGATACACAGCAATCTCAGTGCACAAATGTGAGATTTGCTAGGAAAAAAAGCAAGATGCTTAATGGAAAGAAGGTAGACTCCTGTTTTTGGGTTGTTTTTCATTTAAATGTTTATGAGCCTTTGGAAAGAAATATATTTTGTATCTCTCTTATTTTCTTCTCTTATCGACTTTATGGAAAACTGCAATGAAATGTATACTTCAGCATTGTCAAATGAAAGTCCATAACAAAATGTCCTTTTATAACCCATAAATTCAATTCTCCACCATTTCATACTTCTTCCACTTACCTTTTTGCAAGAGAAGCTGCCCCTGCAAAGCCTGGTTTACATATCAATCTTGCTAGCTTTTTTTTGTGCCCACCAAATTGTGGGGAAACTTTTGTAACTCCAATTGCTAGGAAGTACAATGCCACAGGGATTTTAAGTGCATACATATGATTTCTTTAAGTCCCGCCATGTCAACAGAATTTACACATCTAGAAGACAACCAAGTGCCTAAGCATTTGTGCACATCTGTCTTAAATTCATGGTAATAATTGCAACAGCAAAGTACAATTTTTTACGAAACTAAACCCAGAAGTATTTGTTATTAAAATTTGCAACTGGGAAAAAAAAAAAGAACCATCCTTGATCAACTGTTTAAAATACATGAATTTTTGCTTTCAGTTACTGGTGGATAGCTGTTACTAATCCCATACAAAATGTGTTACTTCGTGTGCTTTGTAAATGTTATATTGACTGCACATGTGAAACAAAGATCTTCTCCCAAACTGCTGTTGTAGTTCACACTCTGTATCACTTGATGATCAACTGTCCCTGTAGGAAATGCAGGGCTAGCAAAGAACAATTGGTAGCTTTTAGAGTAAGGTAAGTTTATAGGCAAGACTCAACAAACATATTTAATGAAATTTTCTTAGTTTCAGTTCAGTGACTAGAATGGTGACATAAGATATCTTTTATCCTCCAAATGCCTTGTACCAATTAGGAGTATATCCAACGTGAAAACCTATATGGAATTTAATAGTTACTGCCATCAGTGAGGGAATGACCTGCTATAACTGGACCTCAACTTTTGTCTCCTAAACTACTTTCTCCCTTACAAACTGTTACTGGAATGAATAAATTTGCTAAAGTTGCCATTACATATTTAAACAGACTTTTTTTCCCTATTCTGCAAGTGTTTGTGCTTGTAAAATGCCTACAAACTGGGACTTTTGGTAGTATGAAAGACCTTTTTGCTTTTGAAGTTCAATAAGCATTGGGTACCTGTATTTCTATGCTTTTTGGATTATCTGATAGCTTGTAGATATTTGGATTTCTGGAAGTGAAGAAGATATAGCAACATCCTGGATTAGAAGTAATGATACTCTTTGAAATCCTTTCATTAAGTGATATCTGCTTCTTTTACATTCTTAATGCTACAATATCTGACTGCTGAATGCTCCTTGTAAATATAAATAAGTCTGAACAAAGAATATTGCTTGCTTAACTCTGATAACCAGTGCTTTTCATGTATTCTGGAAGTCATGCACAAACTTGATTTTATAAATGTTTTAAACAGGTACAGGTACAATTCAATTGCATTGAAGTCAAGGTAGCACAACACATCTATGTGACCATGAAAACAGTACCAAATTACTGTGAAGTCAAGCTGAGTCAGGAATACTATGTTGAAGGTAGGAAAACATCTCAAACCAGATGTTTTTCAAGAAACATCTTTTCAAAGAAAAACCCAACCCAAACCAAAAAGCCCCAAATGCAAAGCCAAATCATGTTCTGGGATACACTGATCTAACTGATGGTAGATCATGTATGCCAGGACATTCTACATTTCAGTGATTTATTTTGTGCGTATAAATGTCTGACTTGCTATAAAAAACAGAGACCGGAGTTCATAACTAAAAGTACATGGGAAACTGAACTACACTATGCATTTGTTCTAATTGGCCTTCTTGTGATTGGCACATGCCCTTGCTCTGCCTGCAGGTTCAGTCCTGTGTGCTCTCTGTTCATAAGATTGAGTCTCTGCTTCTCTTCATAGTTAGGCCACAGGTGGTTCCAGAGGTTGAAGAAAGCTTAATAAGAAAGTGTAGAGAAATTTTCTTTTCTTTTCATTAGCTAGCTGTTCTATCACCTGTTTTCATGTAACTGGATAAGACAAGGTAGCATTTTTTCATGTTTTTGGTGTAAAGTGCCTACCATATGCATATAAAAATAGATTCAGCACTGTGGTCCAACCAAGATACAGTGCGGCTAGTGAAGACAAGTGCACCAAATGGTGGTGCAAAAAATGAGATGAGACCCCTCGTTCAGTCTGGTGCCTGGACTTGTCCTGCCTTTTCATCTCCAGACCCCGTGGGTGGGTGGCTCTTGCTCTTGCCCCTTGGTACAGTATCATCCCTTGCACACAGTATCAGACACGTTGTGTCTGTTTCACGCTTTCATAGAAGTAAAATCTTTTTGTATTTAAAAAGTCTTTCATTTTCTTGATTAATCCTGATTCACTGTTGAAGTAGATATGTACTTTGTGAATAGAGAGGGGGGAAAAATAAGGTTTTATAAAGCCCAGTTTTAAGACACTTGACAAGGGTGAGTAAACAAATGAAAAGAGGAAATATTTCTCTGGGGCAAAGAACTGTGTGTGGAAATGAGAGCACAGTGCTGCTCTAATACTGAGTTAAGCAAGGAGAGGTGACAACAGGAGGCAGCACACTATGAGCTGATTTAATGTTCATAAATCAAGATTTAAATTTTGGAGATACAAATATTAGATATAAGCTCTGAAAGTGTCACCTGGCCTCTAATTCTGGTAAGCTCCCTAGAAGCTAAATAGGATGTTTCTTTGTAAGTCTAGAGCAGAGTCAGAACAGCAAAAATACACAGTTGTTTATAACAGAGGGATAAGTCTGGTAAACAAGGGGAGGAGCATTCAAGGAAAGAATAAATGAAATTATTATTATTATTTAAATTATTGTTAAGTACTAGGTAAAGAAGTGCAGTGTTATACCCTAGATTGCTACCTTAAACTGCTGATGAGGTTTTCCAGTAGAAACCCCACACTGGTGAGAGAGTTCCTTAAAGCAAGTTGTGATATAATCTCTGTATGTGGTAAGGGTACTTTTCTTTTTTGCTGTTTATCTAGAAGTGGATGTACATCTGCCTTTAAAAAGGGGTATAAGAGAGAGGTTTCCTGTTGGGAAGCTATTGGATAATGTGGCAGTTTATTTACACAGTTATACAAATAAAGCCGCACTGAAGAAAACTCTGAAGAAAACTCTGACTTTTATTTTGCAGATTGCAGAAACAGTGATGTGGGAAAATATATTTCAGATTGTTCAGGTGAGCCGATCTTCTATACAATTTAAAGCTGTGAGATATTTCTGGTGACCTATGCAATGATATGTTTTCATAGCTGAATAAGCAGGGAAACATGATGATTTGCAACTAACACTAATAATTACCATGTAGTTGATAGATAATGTCCTGGAAAATGTGTTTCTTTATATTGACTTGGAAATGCTAGATAGCAACCTATTTAATACTTAAACTTTTGGAAGTAGGTTTGTGTCCTTTTCAAGCATTTAGGATTGCTGGTTTTATATTTTCTCTACAGACAGACCTCATAAGTAGATTGAAATTAATTTGCCAAACTGTTATCCTGGTTTTGTCATACCCATGAATAGAAAAAAAGTAAAACATCCCCCCACATATTGTACTTGTCTAACATAGTTGCACATATTCTCTATATTATGAAATTGGAAATTTGGGATAATCAGCTTTTATAGTAGTATTAGTGTGTATATTTCAAGTATCTGTACATGAACTACGTAACATTTCAAGTACTAAGGTTGAGGTAAAATTGGTAGGTGTCCTGGCCTCTCAGTATTGCCAGTGCTAATTTAAAACTGAAAAATATTGAAATTTATTCTCATGAAAATTATTGTATCTTAGAAAATAAGAATACCTTTAGGAATATCAGGATATAAAAAGAATTAATTCAAACATCCTAGGTAAGAATCTACAGATGTTGAATTTCATCTCCATCAAGTTACAAAATATATTCTGTACCTTTTGTAAAGAAAAAACAAAATCAGAAATAACAAAGTAATAAAGAAACAGATGTGATAATTTCATGCTTGAATTTTCTTTTTCAGCTGGAAAGTTTGATTATAATGTAGACAGAGCAAGGAAAATTATATCAGTGAATGTATCCAACTTTCTTCAAGATCAAGATTATTACGTTCGCCTGTGCCACAAATGGTTTACCTGTGAAGATGCAGGGGCATTTGCTGTGGTGAGTTAAAGCTCAAAGCAGTTTGTTGAACTGGTGGGGGGTGACTGTAGGTGGAAATCCTCATTGAGGTCACAGTTATAAGAAATGACCTTCTATATCTTTATTTAGCTTTATTAAAAGTGATTTACTGTCCTGGATTCATGACCATCTTTTTCATTTCAGATAAAAGGGAAGGAATCTTTAAAATCAGTTTCTCTGAAATATTCTCAGCTACTTCCTTGTCTTTGCATTGAGGTAATACAGTCTGGAATTTGGTATATACCCGATTAAAGAAATTTTATCTGGGATTTGTGCTAAGAAAGGAGGCAAAATCTGTAGAAAAAGGCTGTAGACCTAAGCTTTTGACTGAGACTTGTCTGACCTTATGATTATGTAAATGTAGAAGAGATTTTTTAGGAAACTAATTAAAACATGGAGATAAGAAGAAAATGGGATGCAATTTACATTAATTTATGGGAAGTATTGTGTAAGATTAATTTGACTCTTTTTTTATAAGCAATGATAAGACATAAAATTTAATCTGACTGAATTTCAGCATAGCATTTGGTGTAGTATTGCATGAGAAACTAAAACAGGAATTGAGGAGGCTGGGGGTGAGAACAAGATTTGTATGGTAGATAACTAACTGGAGGGCTAATTCAAACTACTCCTGTTGAATGGAGCTGTGCTAGTAGGAAGATTATTTAAGGAACACACTTAGAGCAGTTCTTATATAAATGTTTTCATCAATGACATTGGCACAAAAGGTGGGAACGTGTTAAAGAGATTTGCTGATAATATAGTTGAGAGGTGTAATCAAAATGAAAGTGGGTCAGGATAATTGGAAGAGACTAGAGATCTTTATACGTGAAATAACTAAAGGAGGATGAAGTGCAAGTTCATGCACTTGCTCTAATAAAAAGAATTCTTGCTGTAAGATGCGAATCCTCATTTAGAAATAGCAGTGGAGGAAAAAAGATCTGGGTGTAATAGTTCATCACAGGATGATTAAACCAACATGCTTACATGATGTAAATGTGAACAAAGGTCTAGCGGATTAGATTATTCCAAGCTAATAGGAAAGTATAGGCAAGGCCTCCTTTGAAATACTGTAGGCAATTCTTGTATCCATATTCAAGAAAGATTAATTGAAATGGAAGATGGAATGGAAGACATAAAAAATCTAGAATGGTTGGGGAATGGAGAGACTGTCTATAAAGGAAATTCAAAGAACATGTTTTCATTAGCCTGGTAAAACACACACAAAGAGAAAATTTGTTTGTTGTCTAAACACACATCAGAAGGGTCACTTATAAGGAAAAAGAACAGTTTTTTTAAGCTAAAGCCATTCTTGCCACAAGAATGAAGGTGGATAAACTTTATTCCAGTAATATATTCAGGATAGCTACAGATTTTTTTCTGATAATCTGAGAAATGAGATTTTGGAATATCTTTCATAAAAAGGAATAAAAAATCAGCAAACCAATTTAAAATGATCTTGGTAAGATATAAAGATACTATGTGACCTAGTTTCTCAGTGAATTTTGCGGTAGGATTTACCTTGCAGATTAAGATACCTAAATGTAGATGTCCAAATGTAGATATCTACATTTGAAGTAGATGTCCAAACTCTTATAGTCAATGGAGATCTAGTTCATGCAGTCAGTTACTCAACTGACGAAATGTAGATGGCTATTTTGGGATGTGCTGGATAGCACTGTAGACTCCACTGGCTGTATTGGCTAGATCTTCATATGGCTACTGTAATTTGGGCACTTCAGTCACACTCAGATGTGTACATTGTGGGCACCTAAAATCACATACCTCCATATGCGAGTTGAACTACAAGGTCTTTTCCAAGCCTAGGGATTTTTTTTATTCCACTCTGAAAGGCATGAGTTCACTGGAAAGATATTATTCCTCTTAGCATATACACAGAGAATTCCACAATACGATTGCTGGGTAAACAGATGGGAACTATCAGTAATAGAAACATTTGCACATGAATCTAAATAATTAGGGTATAGTAAGAGCCATGCACATATACTTGCAGATTGGGTTAAGTGTTAGTCCTCAGATTTTAAGGATACATCCTTTACCATAGCAAAGGCCAGGAGGTCTGATATTATGATTCTTGAATGTCTTTTGATACCCCTAGAAAGTAATGACACTGTAAGAAACTTAATGAAAATCAAACTGAAGAGTTTCTAAATGAAATTGGGCCAAATATATGACTCAGAAATAGTAGGAATATAGTGCTCGAAGGGATCACCTTAGTTCATCAGCTCCAATCCCCCTAATGATGAACAATAAAATAGATATCTAGTGCAAAACATCCTTTAAAAAAATACGTCCAAAGCTTTCTAATAAACATGGCATCTTTATCTTTGGTGGAAAGGTTTTCTGTCACATTCTATCTGAAATGTTAAAAACTGGTGTTTCTGAGAATCTCTAGCTAATGGCTACTTTTTGGGTTGTAGGGTTGGCTGGCAATTCCAGATGCAAGGAGGATACAACTTTGCCCCTTTGAAAATGGCAAGTATTGTGTGATTACTCTTTATATGAGTGATTTTCAGCAGGTTCAGTAGTATGTCACAATTTGAAATTCATCTAAGGTGAAAACCATACATTGCAAAACTTAAAGAAAACATCATATTGGTTTGTTATACTGTGGGTAGACGAAATAACTTTCAGAACAAATTGTTCACCAAGTTTATGCCAATATAAACACTAAGTAACTTTCTAGTCATTTCCTACATTTTCTTAAGCCACACGCAAAGTGGCCAGAAGGAAGAAAAGCCACTGAGGTCAGCTTTGAAATGCTGATGTGAGAAGAGGGCTTCAAGGAGAGATTTGAAGGTGTCTGACACCCAACTTAAAGGAGGGAACAGGGAGTTGAAAAAGAAGACAGTTAAGTTAAGTTAAGGAATTCCCATACTTAATGGGAAATTATTCATACAAAGTGTTCCAGCAAAATCAGAGTTTGGTCTCACAGCTGAAAAAGAAACTGTCATATTATATAAGTCTTTAGTGAAAGTTTTACCAGGCAGATAGAAAAAAGTGTAGCCTGAAAAAGTGCTTTATTGTGTTAAGTCCAATACAAGTACAACAATATTTTTTCCCCCAGACTATGCTAAGAAGCCCATTAAGGGATTTTAGTATTTGATTTAAAAAAAAACCCAAACAAACCATAAGAGAGAATGAAAACATCAACCCATAACAGTGCATCCAAACTCCATTAAACTGCATAGACATTCACTGCAGTCTTTTCACATTCTTGCAGGGCTGATACATTTGTGTTAAAATGGAAGCAATTTCCTCTTTAGTTAGCCCAGCCTTCATTTCTGATTTATTTTATTGTGTCAGAATATAGTGACACTACAATTCCTTTGTAGCAACGGAGTGCAGTTTGACTAAATAAAAAGGGATTTTTTTTTTTCTCTGTTTATGCAATAGAGAACACTTATAGGAATGCTCAAGCTCTGTCTGTAGCTGTGTCTATGTCGTCTATTCAGATCTGGCTCTAAGGTCATCAAAGCAAAGCCTGTTGGTCATCTGCAGTATGAAGTCCTAACCTCCATTCTTAGTAGCTGTTCAGCCTGAGGCTGGGTCTCATGAGGCACAGGTTGTTTTCTTTCAGATTTTCTCCTATCTCTACCTATTCCCTGTGCTTGGAATGGTTATGCTTTGCAAGTGCAGGAAATTGGGCTCATGGATCCCATGATTCCTTCCTGCCTTCTGTATTCTGCCTCTTTTCCTTCCCCTCCTACTGCAGTCATTCTCCTCCCTGATGGCATTGAATCAGGACTATGGGGATAGCTGAAGCATAGGTTACAAAGCTTTATGTAGTCAGAGGAAAGGCAGTATGTGCTTTGGCACACTGAAGGTCTTGAAGCTTATTTCTGTCCATTTAGGAAGTTCCAATGGACAATTACAATTGAAAACTTAACTTATAGCTTTGATGAGGAAGTGAATATGGGAAATACTGTTTTATAGCTATACTTTTCATTTACTCAACTATCCTCCTTGCAGAAATCTCAAGCAATTTTTCAGATTCTAGCACCCAGCTATTTCAGTATATAAGGAGTTCCAGCTTTTGAGCCACATTGTTTTCTTTTTAAATCTTTCTTTTTCCTAACTGACAGCTCTGTTTGCTGGAATATCTAAAGTAGATTGGTTCTTTTTTTTGGCTCATTTATCATTGGTGTAATAAAGTTGGGATTATAGATTTAGTTCTGTGGTAGGAGGTAATTAACAGTTGTGTATCAGAAAGAAGCTCCTCATGTAATAACTCTTGCCTTAATGTAACTAAGATAAGAAAAAAAGGAAAAAAGAATGTCTACTGGTTACTGAACAATGTAATTACATGAGACTGAAGATGAATGAGCATCTTTATTATGATGTAAATAAGTAGATGTCACAAAGGAGTAAAACAGAAGGAAAGTAAGGTAATAAGTCAATGAGCAGGCCTGGAAACAAACCTGAGAAGTCTTAATTGTGGTGCTATTCTCTTAACTATTAGGATTACACTTACATTATTTCTACATTATTACAGACTCCTATAACATTCAAAACAGCTGTGAAAACTGTCAGAACTGTTGGAACCCAGGACTTTGCAGTCAGGTTAAATATTCTCTGAACATTAGCTTTATACTACATGTCCATTTATTATAAACAGCATTTTTAAAAAAGAATAAAAATTTCCAGCAGTTTTTTTAAAACAGAATAAAAATTTCCACTTCATAGAAAGTTTCAGTATTTTGATGTATACGCATTGGGACACAAAGTTAAGACAGCAAGAGGCTTGGCACAATTAAAGGGTCTGGAATGTTTTTATTAGCAAATATCAAAAGGTTTTATTTCAGGACATTTCTGAGAGAAGGAATTGTTGTGCTTGATGGGAATTGAATTTGGGCACCTGGTGTTTTCACTCTTTGATGTAGACTGTGCTTCTTCACTTTGGTACATTTTCTAGTCATGGCTATTGTTTGTTCACTCCTCTTGAACATCCAACTGGCCACATTTTGAAGTTTTTGCTTCACAAATAGTTGCAGAAATATATTTTTCGCCTACTTCTGACTATTAGACAAACATAAAACTTTCCAAATTACTTCTTGAAGTATGAACTGAAATATCAGTTTGAATTTCATGCTGGAAATTCTCTCATTCATGTGCAGGTAAATGGAAAAGAAAGTCAGTATGAAGTGACTAATTTGACCAATCAAATAGATAAGACAGCTTTTATTTTATAATAGTGTCTATTTAAGATAGCCCCAAATATATGTTGACTAGATCTGACATTACAGTGTGCACAGTATACATAGAAGGAAGATTTATATAAAGGCTATAGAAAAGAATATTTATTGTGAATTACTTGCACAGCTTTGTTTACTACTGGAGTTCTTGATATTCAGCTAAAGGCTTGAATTTATTTTTTTACATATACGTTGTGTGCATGTAAGTCCTACACAAGACATACAGAATCTGTGTCTCCAATACCATGACCTCTAGTCACTAATGTATGGGTTCATTCCAATTTACCATACACAGTTAACTGAAGGTCCTTGGTTACGAATTTACTTGCGTTACACTCCCCCTGTGACTGATGGGCAGAGAATGCACTTCCAGTGCAGCCTACTTAAGAGCCGAGGTGCCATTCCCTGGTGATGCCTATCACCGTAGTGAGAGACTGGTAAGACTAAGCTCTCAGGTTGAGTACCTCTGGTAAATGCCAACACTTCAGTGGGATGAATTAAAGTTTTACACTATTACAATGTGAAACACTGCAGTTCTGATTGGTGAAAATGACAAGGAAAAGCAATGCTTTTGGTTTTAAGCACATGTATGGGTACCAGATTTATGACCAATTTTGATTCAGTTTTAGACATCTTGAATAATGTTTCCACTCTTTGTGCGCAGATACGAAGGTGCTATGGGATAATATTGTTTACAACCCAGTGACACAAACCCTAGCTTGGGAGCCAGCCTGTCCTGTGCTTGTCATGGTTAACCTATGCAGGTTAACGAAGTCTAACAACCACTGTGAAGATATACAAAACTCTTCCAAAAATTCTTCTGAGAAAGTAAGAGCTATGCAGATTTATTCAAACTGTGAGATTGAAGGCCATGACCAAAGGCATGTGAAGAGCTAGACTTTGGAATACGAGCAGTTGCAAATTCCTCTCTTTTCTAGTACTTAAAACTATTCATAATCACAGCCTGTTCTTGTGCGCTAACCACATGATTTATTCAAAGAGCTCATATTGACTGACTCACTATTAAGAAATAGCAAGTGGAGATGACTGTGAAGCTAGCAATGTTTGCTAAATTCTTTGGTGTAAATAGGGTCTGCTTTTCATTTATAGTAAAGGCATGATTCATCTGCCCGGACTTTACTGTCTAAAAGATAGGTGTTCAAGTCTATACTATTCGTCTCAGATTCCCTTTAAAGTAAGTAAATGAAACAGACATATTGAGAGGACAACTCTTCTCATCTGAAGACAGGCATATAAGAAAGGTCGGAAGGATTTCCCTCTGAAGGTACCTCTTTCTCTTCACTGACTATGACAAGAGTATATTGTAGTTAGATCACATTTGGATATTTAACATTTAGACACTTAAAATGTAAGTGAGATGAAGCTAAATCTCTTTAAATCTTACTGGAGACATAATGGTACCTTGGTAGGGCATGATTGTTTTGTACTCTGTTCAGATCTCTTTGAAGTGCCTTCCTCAAACTGGTCCAATGTCTTGAAATTGTGGGTGTTGAAATATTGCATTCCTCAGTTCTTCCAGCACTTATGTTCTACAGTTGAAAAGACTTTTCATTGCATGTATCTTAAACTGCTTAATACTTCAATCTGAAGTCTCATGATGCTGAATGCACTGGATTTATGAGGTTAGTTAGAATTCTGGATTTCATCTTGAAAAGTAGGTTTCAGGCTTTCCTGGTAGTGGAGAGAAGCCAGCACACCTGAGGTAACAACTGAAAAGGCAAATAAAATCAAATACAAATTCTTAATTTTTGGTACTTTGAGTATTATTCTGATGACATGATTTGGGGGGAGGCTGACTCAAGACTGTTGAGTGCTTTTTTGATTAGGAACTCCTGGCCAAGCGTTTAATGATTGTTCAGATTCACCATTTTATGGGTTTCAACAAAGCTTTGATCTTGCAAAAATAAATATATGTAATTTTATACATGTGAGGGGTCCCTGTGGGATTGATTATCTGCTGACAACAAGCACAACTCATTGTTTGCAGGAAAGAAAAAAAAAGAAAAAAAAAGGAAAAAAAAGGAAGGAAAAAAAAAAGAAATACGCTTAAAATGAGGTTTGGCTGGTAATGATCATATCTATTACCCAGAACACAATCCAAGATTAGTTTCTTACAGACGATGAATGTTTTCCTGTATTTATTAATATTCATGGACAGGATGAATTTTCCTTTTGTTTCTAATTCATCCTAAAAGGTTTGATATTGATTTTGGTCCATTTCTTGTACTGTAACTCTGAAGACCATCTCTATAGTGTGCTGGAGACTACTGCAGAGATTCCTCACATAGTGCCAGCTCCCCCAGTAAATCCACATGATGCTGTACACTCTAATACCATGCACAGGTACTGACTTAGGCCCAAAAGCTACATAACTCTTCTCTAATTAGGGTGGGGCTTTCTCTGTCGATGGCACTGCTGTCTCCAGATCTGAGTGGAAGCTTACAGAACTATCTATCTTCTGTGACCCTATTGTAGACATACCCAAGGACACCCATTATTTTCGTCTCAAAAAAGTTACAGGAAAGAGGTGTTACTTTCGTCATTATGCCATGTGTTGTGTGTAGGGTCCATTGTGCTCAGTCACTTGAGCAACGGTGTTTATTTAAGTAAGATCACTTACAGTGGTAGTAATTGTTTATATGAGACAAGGCTTTTTATGCTGAAGCCCTTGGCGAACAAACAGTTGTTAACCAAAAAAGCAACATTTTGTGGGTTGCTTAAGTGGATGTCTAAAATTCGGTCTATGTTTAAGTCTTTTCTGGAACAGGGATATGGAAAATCGAAAAATTTCTGAACTGAAGGTGGAACAAGACTTTTGTGTGTATGTTTAAATGTTCTGCTGAGTTGTTGATGAGCGGTAAATAAGGGACTGAAACAAGATGACTGTGTAATCAGAATTTTGCACACAAGCTGCAGTAGAATCAATTAATTTAGCTCTAATGGGTCAGACTGACTATAAAAATGCTACACGTTGCAGATAAAAAGAGGCAAATTATTCAGTAATTCAAAATAGCGGTTGTTTCTATACTTACTATTTTATGTGATTGACTTCCTAGGATGTTTATAAAGTAAACAAACCAGTTCCTTTCTCAGTAATCAAACCATGAAAATTTTGGGTAATTGATTTTGTGAAATTAGTTAATGAAACTAGCTAATGCTGAGTGCTTTCTTTTCAAGCAGGTTAAATATTCTCGTGTAGACACTCACCCGAGACTTTGCATGAAGGTAAAGGGATTTCTTTGTAAAACACCTATTAAATGTCCTCTTTATGTCAGCTCTAAAAAAATGAGTTGCTAATGTTCTTTAGGATCAGTATTTTGTGTCATAGCTCTGATGAATGGGAAGTAAGAATGAAGGAAATCTGAAAGATTAGATTAAAAGGAGATTCTTAGGAAGTGCAGCAGCAATAATAGGACACAGGTCAGATTGTGCCCTCTGTTTTCTCTGCTTAGGAAAAGCAGGGAAAAATGTTTTAGGTCAATGCAAACTCTGAAGCATGCAGTAAACTTAATGTATAAAGTTTTCTGTATTAAATATTTGGTAATGATCGATACACTACATTTACTGGAGTACCTTTTTTTTTTTTATTCTAGTTGAGAAAAGAATGCCACATAAGGTTAATATAGGCATATTATTGTTTTCTTTTAGATTACTTTTAAGTCGGTGAAACTACATGTTTCTGTAAAATAAGCATGTGCATAAATATCTGAAGAACTGGGGGACCTAATTTAAATTAAGGGTTGGAAGAGACCATAGACTAGGAAAGCTGTGAATTCACCTCCTGCAACTTTCTGGAATGCACTGATCATCTCTAGTTGAATCTGTAGCCACAGATTGAAATTGAAAAATCAGTTTTTCTAACAGATTTCTCTGCTTTCAGTTTACAACCAAGCAAGGCTCTTGGGTTAAATGTCCATTTGCTCATGGAGAATTTCCAGGTAAATACATTTTTTAATTACATAATATTAAATTATGAAAAATATTTAAATCAGTCACTAGATAGGAGCCTTCTCCAGTAGAGACTTGTTCACATCACTGTAGCTTGTAAATTATGGCAAAGAGATTTGTCGGTTTGCTACTTCTATGTATCCCCAGTAGATCAAGTATTTATCAGTATAAAAAGTAACTTGTGGGAATCAAAATAATTGCATATCATTTGGTGGCACTTAACTAATTAAAAAGACATTTATTTTAAATATAGCAATTTAGAATGTAATGTATTGTCCTTGTACATCTAAAAGTAAGTCTTTTCCCCTAATATCAGCTTGGAAAATGAGAACTGCTGCAGCTGCAGAACAAATACAAGTTTACTTCACATCCCAAACCAAGGCACAGTTCTCAGTGCTTGTGTGTAACAGGACACAGCTGGCCTCATGTGAATCTGTTGGGACGCACCATTCAGTCTCTGTGGTTTGTATATGTTATTTCTTAAACATTGTAAGACTTTTAAATATATCTAACTGCATTCATTTATTATTCCATTTATTGCTTTGCTTTGAAAGCATTAATAAACCCATGCAGGTACATATTGGAGCCATTACTGGAACATTTTTAAAGCATGTAGTTCTAATTCTGATCTCACACTGAAGCAAGAAATAAATAAGGATCCTAAAGTCAAATGAGTCACATCAAAGAAAGCGGAACCTTAATATTCTTTCAACATATTTTTGTGGTGTAGTATTTCTATTATGTATATAGCAAATGTTAGTGTTAGTACTTCATATATGGGTCACTGATACAGCTGACCTGGCAAATCTCACATTATGAAATGCAAGACTTGAGGCATAAATCCACGATGATCTTGAGGCCCTCTAAATCTCACAGCTGCCAAAACAAACTCAACACACAAAAAAGGTAAGTTTTCAGCCAAATTAGCTTTTTTGAGCTGGCTGACTCTGTGACTACACAACTGCTTCTTCCATCAAAGCGAGGGAGAGAGGGAAAAGATTATGGGAAGGTGAGAATTCTGTTTCAGGCAGCAGCTAGTCATGAAATGGGAGCCTCATTCCTCTCTTACAACTAAGCCTGTATCTCATACATTTTCAGTGCAGCACTTGTGGCTTGCCCTTACCCTTCAACCCTCCTTACCAGAGTTACCTTGTGGGTCTGACCTGTGATCAGCTGAGAGGTACATCTGGAAAGTGGGGTCAAAGAGCAGAAGAGTGGCCATAGGTTTCTTTTTCAAATAGGAGAATATTAGCAGGATAGGTCCTAGGAGCTACTAGGACCACCATGCTGAAACACATCCTGCTGGTTCAGC